TGCGTCGCGATGGTCCCTGACAGTCATCTTTTCTAAGTGCACACAAAGCTCCCCTAACCTACTTTAAGTATCAAGAGGATATTGTTACAGCCCTTCTCTATCCGCATGGCCATGCCCCTGAACAAATTCACTCTGATTCATTGACCAGACTCCATGAGAGGCATTTACCCGATATCCTCCCTCTTACCCAAACAGGCCGCAAACCCCTCAAAAAATGTTGTGTATGTTCCAGTAACCAGATTCGCCGTAACACCCAATACTACTGTCCCCAATGTCCTTCCCAGCCAGGACTCTGTACTGGAGAGTGCTTCTGGATCTATAACACATCTCTACACTATTAGTCAAGAATTTTTTCCAGTGTCCACTATCTGCTATTTCCCTGTATGATCTGGGCTGTTTTTCAAAAATGTCTCTGCTTGCTCCCTGAACTGACCTTGGACTGTTTATTGACGGTGCCTTCGCCTGCCTCTTGAACTATCAACCACGTTTCTACCTTTCATGTGAATTGACCTCAGCCTGTTAATCGGCCATGCTTTTTTGCCTGCCTCTTGAACTGATCTTATGCCCTGCGACTCTATTAGTTGGATTCAAGACAACACAGGAGTCTTATGTTTGTGAGGGGCTCCAGAATAGATTTTCCAAGTGGAGAAAACAAAGTTTTTGGTTTTCTCCGGGTTTTGTAATTGCTTTAAAAGGGTCTGTTAGTCCGGAGGCTATGAAGAGACTGGGTGGGAAGAAGTCTCTACCCCTGTGCCCAGGTCTTATCTGACCAAGACCCTAAGCCTAATATTTCTGCCTGCTGCTGACTTACTGCCATCATGCCTCTGCCTGCCTCATGAACTGACCACACCTCTGCATGCTATCTGTACTATGGACTGTGTTCCTGCTTACTGCCAGGACAGATATTTTGGCTGTGCTGACCATGTGTAAAGTACCTGGTGGTAGAACCTGAAGTGCAGAGGAAGGCCTCCCTTAAATGTCTGGCTCAGGGGCCCTGTTAGAGTAACAGGGAGCTCCGGAGCACAGAGGTGCACTAGTGCCTGGTAGAACTTCTGCAGATTGATTTTGACATGCATCAGGAATGCAGGAACAGCTTGTGGATGGTACACTTGCAGAAGTGCAGGAAATGGCTTAGCAGATGACACTCTGTCAGAAGTGCAGCAGCAGGATGCTGGCAATGATAAGCTGGTTCAGGTGCAGAAGCAGAGTAAGGCAAGGTCAGACAGTCCGGGTCAGCAACTAGCAGGCAGAGTAAGCATAAATGGCAGACAGAAGAATAGTCAAAGGGCAGGCAAGGGGTTGGTACAGGCAGGGTTCAAGCAGGGTCAATAACAGATCAGATCAGCAATGGAATCACAGGTAACAGGATGCACAGGTGCTCAAAGGTATTAGACCAAATGGCACTAATGAAAGGCACTTGCCCAGCTTAAATGGCCCGCCTGGTGTCAATTGGCCATGAGCAAGGCTAACAGGGATTCTGCGCCTGTGCATAGAAATGCGCATTCCCTGACACCATGGCCCTGATTTACTAAGAATTGAGTCTACCAGCAGACTCTAAACATTCAGGCAGACTCAATTAAATTAATTAAGACCTGTCAGTTTTCTGAGAGGTGTCTAGCAATTTCATTGAAAAGCATCTACTTTTCTGTTTGTAAATGTGGAATCGCATCTGGCACATTTTTAGGTGCAATACCAGATATGTTCGCTAGGTGGCGCACAAGCGCGGGCTTTGGCATTTTTATGTTTGCATATGAGAATACTTAGAATGTAAAATAAAAAGTACACCTATATTATAATTTTATTTTATTTTTTTTTTTTGCTGTTTCTCCAAAATGATCAGACAACTAATGCATTTACTAATGAATGTCATACATTCTATTTTCAAATATTAAACATTTTCACACTTATATCTTATAAATAATTTGGAATGTCTAGTTCTAAGTTCCCAATATAATGATATAGCTTCCTTCTCTTTAATCATGTAACTATTCTATGTTAAAGTCATAGTACAGTGCTATAAATGCATGCGATCAATAATGAACACATGTAAAATCCAAAAAGTGCAAATAATTGCAATAATTATGTAAAATGATAAATGGTGCTAAAATAAGTTCAGATAATCATTCCTGAATAATGGAATGTCCTCCTGCATGGAGTTTGCATGTTCTCCCTGTGCTTGCATGAGTTTCCTCCGAGTACTCCAGTTTCCTCCCACACTCCAAAGACATGCTGGTAGGTGAATTGATTCCTGTCCAAACTGGCCCTAGTATGTGTATGTATGAATGTGAGTTAGGGACCTTAGATTGTACGCCCCTTGAGGGTTAGGGACCATTGTGAATGTACAATATATGTGTAAAGCACTGCGTAAATTGACAGCGCTATATAAGTACCTGAAATAAATAAAATTATTGCACTTTTTGGATTTTACATGCGTTTATGATTGATAACATGCATTTATAGCGCTGCACTATTACTTTAATATATTTCTATTCTGGGACTGTTGCCAATACCCTGAGTGCTAGCTGCTACCTTCATATCTATACCTAGATTTATATTTATCTTGTGTAATACCATTTTAGTAGTCTATATAATTTGACCAGCGCTCGCTTTATCATTTTTAAACAATGTAACTATTCTACATTGGAACTCAAACTCTGTCTCCCACGGTGGCTTAGTGGTTAGGACTCAGAACTTACAGCACTTGGGTCATGGGTTCTACTCCCTGCCATGGCTGCATTCCAGTTTGTATGCTTTCCCTGTATGGATGTGTTTCTGGCAACACTCCAAAGACATGCTGTTAGGTTAATTGGGCCTAGAACATGGCTGAGTTTCTGCCCTTAGATTATAAGCTCCTTGATATTTATGAATGTTAAAAAAATGGAGATCAATTTTCTGGGTTGTGTCAGTGCCAGGAATATTGATCAATCAATTAAGATTTTGCCTAATGACTAGAAAGTGGAAAGGGGGTGTGCGTCCTGCTCTTCTGACAAGTTGGAAATGTGCAAGTTTCATGCTGTGTATATTTCATTGTAACTTTTTTATCTTCTTTTAAACCTGTCTCCTTATACAACTTGACCCCCTCCCCCACCCCATCATCACCTGTCCCATATGCGAATCTATGGATCACCGCCCAACTCTTTTTAACTATTTATTTACTGATCAAGTGAATGTGTCTCATTTTCTATCAGCTACAGCTCAGATCTCACATTATTATACGATTGCTGATTGTATATCACCACTAGTCTGATTGAATTCACAATTCCTGGTCAGTCCCGTTTCTTTGCCTCTAATAACCTTTTGGGCCAGTTCACACTACATGTGTTTCAGTTGCTTTTTCGGCATCACAAACGCACAGAAAGAAGGTTATATGGTTGTCAATGAAATAGTTCACATCTGCACTTGCATTTTCAGTGCATTGCAGGTGCTGTAAACAAAGTTGATCACGCTGCATTGTTTCTGCACAGAACTGTACTGGAACGCGTTGATTTCCTTACGATTTGCAAGACATCTGACACAGATATCTATGCAAATCGTCACAAAAGTAGTACATGTACTACTTTAGAAATCAGTGTCGGTAACGCACCCATGTGACTGCTCTAATAGCAGACAATAGGGTACGACTTGGCATACGATTTGCAAGTTGCATGCCATGCAAATTGCATGCCAAGTCGCATCCAGGGTGCACGATTTCAGGTGCGATTTGGGAATTGAAATTGTACCTGATATCCAATCTAATGGATGTGAGTGTCTTAACGTAAGCAATTTGCTGCAGCACAATTTCAAAAGTAGTACTTGTCAAACTTTTTCAGCATTTTGTAGCGATTTCACATATAGACTACAATAGAAATCGCAATGCAAAACACAATTGAAAACGCAATAACTCATTGGTAAATCTACAGAAAACACAGTGAAATTGCCAACAAAAAGCATTTTAAATCACATCTAGTGTGAACCAAGCAGGCAATTCAACAAAGGAAATAAATCTTTGAAGGCATGCGGTATCTGCATGCTCAGATAAGGGTCTGTTTTGGATTTGGGGGGGGACTCCATGCCATTATTTTTTTTTTTCAATCCTTTTCTCTCTCTCGCTCACTCTTCTCATGGTTTGACAAACTTTCCCAAAAGGAGGTGGAGTGCAAACCAGCATTATCCAATCAATCATTAGTCCAGGCCCTAATCTCATCACATCTTTTGACATTCACATACCGTGCTACTTTAAAGGTGTTTGAACAGACAAGACCTCATTCTAATTCACATTCTAGAGATCATTTAAACAGAAAGCAAATATGGTGCCACCAGCACATGTATGTTAGGGTAGTCACACGGAGATCATGCAAATTCATTGCTGTGGTTGGGATTCACACAACAACCCTAGCATTGTGAGACAGCAGTGCTAACCACTAATCCATGGAGCTGTTGAACACTAATCCTGCCTGTATTTCTGTGGTGTGAATCAACCCTAAGTCCCTGGGCAAGGTCAGTGTAACTAGCCAGATATCTCAAATGTGACACAAATGTTGTGCTATGTTGCCAATTCATATGTATGTTGGTTCTATGTAACCAATACAAAGGATTGCAATACTAATACAGGCGTACCTCAGTTTACCAACGCCTCGGTTAACATAATTTTCGGTTTACGAATGAAAATCCGTTGAAAATAATGCCTCGGTTTACACAATTGTTAATAATTTTTTTCTCAATACAAAGTGTATGTCGGCACTGATTTTCAAATGCAAATGCCAGCCTTTTTTTTTTTTCTTCACTATAGTTCACAAGCTTAGAAGTCACTTTCCCCAAAGTTACAGAAAAACTTTGTATCTTCTAATAAACTCAAAGTAAACATTGTTTCCTTTAGGGATATAAATTCCAAGAAAACTTTCTCTTTTAGCTGGGGGAAGTGACAGGTGAATTTCTGAGCTTTTGGAGCTATAGTGAAGAAAAAAAAGGGAAAATTACATTTAAAAACCAGCACCATAATAAATAAAAAACGGCGTGGGGTCCCCCTCCCATCCACACCAAGCCCTTTGGGTCTGGTATGTATCTTAAGGGGTAACTCCACACCAAAATGTAAAAAAAAAAACGGCATGGGGTCCCCCCTCCCATCCACACCAAGCCCTTCAGGTCTGGTATGGATATTAAGGGGTAACTCCAAGGCAAAATTAAATACAAAACAGCTTGGGGTTCCCCCCTAAATCCATACCAGACCCTTATCCGAGCATGCAGATGCATGGGGGGGTGCTTTGGGGCAGGGGGGCTCCCCCCCAAAGCACCTTGTCCCCATGTTGATGGGGACAAGGGCCTCTTCCTCACAACCCTGGTAGGTGGTTGTGGGGGTCTGCGGGTGGGGGGCTTATCAGAATCTGGAAGTCCCCTTTAATAAGGGGGCCCCCAGATCCCGCTCCCCCCCTTCGTGAATGAGTCTGCGGTACATGGTACCGCTACTAATTCACAAAAAAAGCAAACATGTAGTGTAAAAAACCACAGTACAGGGTCTTTGACAAGTCCTTTAATAAAACAATGTCCCCCGAAGTAAATCCAATGTCAATCATGATGTCACGGCGACCCGAAAAAAGAAAAAAAAAAGAAAAACCGTTCCGCACTCGACGAGGCTCACCAGCCTTATGCAGCCAGTCTCCCTGACATTTCTTATATAGGTAAGGGCGCGGGCCAGCCGGGGACATCATCCGAGTGTTCCTGCCCCATGTGACATCTTGGAGGCACATGGGGTGGGATCACATGCTTGATGTCGGATCTACTTTGGGGGACATTGTTTTATTAAAACAAAAAGCAAGTGCCCACAGAGGACGTCTAAAATGTGTTCTGCACATGCGCATTTATATCGGACAAATAAGCTGCACGAGCGTCTAGTTTTTCACTGTGTCGACTTGCTTAAAAAAAAACTTTTAAACACATTTTAATTTTTTTTTTAAATGGCAGATATTGTTTAAAGTGAAGTCCTGATATTTGGCAAAGCAAATTTCAATTTGAACATGTTTCTGCAGTGATTTTTCATGGTGTTAGACGTGCCTCTTAGCAAGTCTGCTTTTTGAGTCTGATTTCTGATCTGTGTCTCGTTAGTAAATTAGATTTGGCATCTAGTTGTTGACGCTTCTCTTTAGTAAATCTCTTAGCGGGGTAAAAGTAGACGGTCGCTAGTAAAAATTAGACGTTCGCCCACAGAAATGCGCCTAGGCACAATAGTAAATCAGGGTCCATGTGTCTGCCTGGACAACTCATTTGGCTGTTGCTGACCACGTGTCTTCCTGCTTCCTGCGCCAATGCTTTGGTTGTGCTGGCAATATCTTTGCCTTCTGCCTGTAGTGACTATGGACAGTATTCCTTGCTGCTGCCTGGGCGATTCCTTTCACTGTTGCTGACCACATCCATGCTTGCTGCCTGGACCAATGCTCTCCTCTGTGGACAACTGAACTACTAAAACCACAGTTAATTTTTTTGTTTACCCTTTGCTCAGCAGAATGTATTGTTGGGCTGTAATTCTTGGTATGTACATACTATGTGTTAGAAGCCTGAAGGTGCTACTTGGATGTAGGACCTCTAGATGTAGCAAGGCTGTGGAAAAGTATTGACCCACCCAAATAAATTTCTTTGTTTAGCGACCTTAAGGGTTATCATCCATGCAACAAGTGTATAATCTGTAAATGTGACAACACTAGGAAGCATAAACAAACTACTTTTACCTCACAAGTAACTAGAAAGAGGTACAATATAGACACAATTCATCACATGTAATAGTAAGTTTGTTGTCTATTTACTAGAATGTCCATGTAAGCTGCAGTACATTGGACGTACCACTAGGCGGCTTAGGGACAGGTTACGAGAACATGTCAATAACATTAAGCGTGGATACAGAGAACATTCAGTCTCTAATCACTATAGGAGATTTCATAACATGGACCCCACCTCTTTGAAATTTGCGGGCATTGATGTAATCAAACCCCACTGGAGAGGAATACATAAGAGACGTGCTGTCTCACAATTGGAAATGAAATGGATATATGAGCTCTGCTCTTTAAAACCCAATGGCCTCAATATTGAGGTCGACATTAACTGTTTCATTGAAAATAGTTAGATACCATCCACCCTGTACATGTACTCTTTTATTTTTATTTTATTTTATTTATTTTTACATTATTATTTATACATTTTATATGTTCATCTTTTATATTTTTTATGTGTATTACATACTATGACTCAGGCATAGTGTGAAGATTTTTCAATATGTCAACCCATCATATATGATTTTAATGTGATCACTATGCACTCTTATTCCTAATTTGATCTTAATGTTTTAATACATTAACATCTTATCCATACATTACCCTTATTTATCCCTGTTTAACATATTAATGTATCATTCTATTATGCGTTTTATATTTTTTATGGCTATGAGGAATAGTCACACTATGTCTCTCCATAGGAGACATTTGCTGATAAGGATTTTTACTATATTATTATTATTGTACTATGTGATGATGATATTCGCACATGTGCACTGACCCTAAGTCCATGGGAAATGGGTTATAATTTTCGTTATAATTTTCGTATTAAACATCCCCAATGCCCTCCATTTTTAACATCATACATTTTATCCTTACTGGTTCTACTATTTAAAAGATAGACCAGTTCTACCTACCATCATTGTATCACTTGATATAGACATTCAGGAGATAAACCTGTTTTGTCTATCATCATTTCTTTACCTAACACTAGATGGCGCTGGAAATTTCCCCTATATAAACTCATTAATATATTCCCATGGAGAACGTACAGGCATCCAGTCTGTCTAAATGGGTTCTATTGTGTCCTTTCATTAATGGCAGAGGACGCTGAAGTTTTCATTTATACCTAATAACTCATCCCTATTGAAGAACATACAGACATTCAGTCTGCTTCTTCGCACCATGGGACCAGGGCAAAATGGCGCCCGTAACCCCCGCGCATGCGCAGTCCGCTCTGCACTATTCCAAAATGGCCGCGGTCCACTGCGCATATGCAAAATCGTCTATAAATACGAACGGCGGACGACACGGTGTGATTGGCGACCCCCCTCTGAAGACGTGCTGGAGCACGATACGCGTCAGGAGGAGCCACACCACGCCGTGACATCACGCCGCCGGAGCAACGTGGAGCTCCGGCGGCCATCTTTAATTACCAGCTGGTCAGTCCCTTTACAGACTACTGTCTGCAACGTTGTACACGTTTTTACCTGATGCACCTCTATGAATAAAAGTTTGGTTTAACATACTACACTATGGGAGTGTTCTTGTCGCCCCCTGGGGGAGTGTTCTAGCCCACAGACCCACTCCAAGGATGGATTACTACTTACCACCCAGGCCATTCGGAGTGACAGCATCCACTAGGACCATATAGGGGGACCTTTTGAGGAAAAGGACAACTTACCTCGGATCCGATAGAGGGAAGACCACCAATCACCTGGCATCAGGATAATTATACACAAGGCGCATTTAATATGCGCGTCCGGTGAGTGCGCATTTCATTACCACCTCTACACGGATATCAAAGTCACCTCAACTATTCATACTCACCTGTATTTGCGGGACTACCCCATATCCTTTATTTTGTATCTATTATTTGATCCACTAAAGACTTTTGTATACCTATTGTTTACAAGCGCTGCACCTTTCACATATATTGTCTTTTCCATAGGTCATTGGTACCTATCTCTTGTGCGTAGCAGCTTGTTGATTTTTACTAAGGCGCTTTTTACTACTTCTTGTGGAAAAGTATTACACATGTGGTATCGCCATACCTGGGTAGAGTAGCAGAATGTATTTTGGAGTGTAATTTTGGTATGTACATGCTATGTGTTAGAAATATCTTATAAATTGACAACTTTGTATAAATAAATTGAGGTAATTCCATTGTCCTGGTGCTCAAGGACCTTCAAAATTGTGATAGGTAGTCAGGAAATGAGATGTGTAATTTATGCTTCCGGAACGCTTGTGGGTCCGAATTGGATTTTGGGCCTCTGTATGCGACCAGGCTGTGGAAAAGTCTTACATATGTGGTATCCCCATACTCAGGAGGAGTAGCAGAATGTATTTTGGGGTGTAAGTTTTGGTATGTACATGCTATGTGTTAGCAATATCTTATAAATTGACAACTTTGTGTAAAACAAAATACATTTTCATTTTCTTTCCACATTTTCTGAAAACTTGTGGAAAAAAAAACATTTTCAAAAGTCTCATTATTCCTTGTAGAATATACATTTGGGTGTTTGCTTTCAAAAATTGGGTCATTTTGTGGGTAATTCCATTGTCTTGGTGCTCCAGGGCCTTCAAAAATGTGATAGGTAGTCAGGAAATGAGACGTGTAATTTATGCCTCCAGAAAGCCTGTAGGTACTGCTTGCATGTTGGGCCTCTGTATATGGCCAGGCTGTGGAAAAGTCTTACACATGCGGTATCCCCATACTCAGGAGGAGAATCAGTATGTGTTTTGGGGTGAAGCTGCACGTATGCATATGCAGTGTGAGAGGAATAACCTGTTAATATAACAGTTGTGTGAAAAAAAACAATTTTATTTACTTTCCTAATTTTCCAAAGAATTGTGGGAAAAAAATTACAGGTTCAAAAAACTCACCATGCATCTTACTAAATACCTTGGAATGTCTACTTTTGTACCGTCCTGGCTTGTTAGTGTCTCAAGTACCTCAGGTTTGATCAGGTGTGTTCAATTTGCAATGATTAGTACCATAGCTTGTAGACCTTAGTTTCACACTTATTTTTACCAAAGCAATGTAGCAGTATATCAGATACAGATGTGAGCGCAGTGCTAAAATCTAGGGAAAAGCAGCCAGCATATGAAGGCAATCCTCAATACCTCAAAGTTACAAATATAAATAGATATGCAGCCCTAAATAAACAAATAATAATCTTAATTGACAAGTTCTGAGTATCCAGAAAAATACAAAGTGAGTGAGCACTGATGATAGTGCAAAATTAGTGCAGTGATAGCCACGTTTGAAAACGTTGCTCGTTTGAATCAGATGACGGAGTGAAGATAATAGTGAGTCTAATCACATAAAATTCATCAGAAATGGTCCTCCGTGTTCCGTGACTTCAATTGCTGTTGTAAAAAATCCGGTACAATAATGCACTTACCAGAAGTACATATAATGTAAGCATTATATGTAACCAATATGTAGTGACATCAGGGTCTGGTCTATGGTTGTGGTAAGATCTGGTTCTCACGGCAGACCCTCAGAGATGAAGGGACCCACACTCAAGGGTCACCTCAGGTTCACAGATTTGTCCAACACCAGCTCAAAAGCCCTGGTAACACCTTCCCATATGGCTCCACTTTGCGAGGCTTGCAAGCAATGAGCCAAGGGGCAAAATGGTACTGATAGTGTAAAGGAGAATCCACCAGATTGACGCCCTAGCCTCACACAGCTTATAAGGAAGGCCTAGCGGCTGTTTGTATTACCACATGTGAGTTTGTGTTATATTTTTTCAGTTTTGAATATATCTTTTATTTCAAATAAACATACTACACTATCAGTACCATTTTGCCCCTTGGCTTGTTTTTTTTGCGAGCCTCGCAAGGTGGAGCCATAAAAAAGGTGGGGCAAAAAATTAAAAACCCAGTGCTAATTAAATACCGCCAAAAGAAAGCTCTATTTGTGTGAATATTTTTTAAAAAATTTCATTTGGGTACAGTGTTGCATGACTGAGTAATTATCACTCAAAGTGTGAGAGCGCTGAAAGCTGAAAATAGGTCTGGGCAGAAAGGGGGGTAAAAGTGCCCTGTGGTTAATGAGCTATAAAAACCTTTACAGATTTTATAACTTTTCCATATTTAGTATATAATTGTGCTTTTGTTCCTGCCTCTGTCCTCATCAGATAGATATTCCATGACTTTCTAGTATTGTGAGCCCATGAGATTAAAGTGTATGCCAGCCAAAAAACATTTTTTTCAATAGGGTGAAGGAAGGCTAGAAACCCTGTCAGCATTTTACTGCTTTGTTCTTGATGATTTTCCTTCACTTCCTGTTGTTCATATTCTGTGACTAGAAGAGGGAACGTCTTTACAATTATCTGCATCACTTCCATTCATAGAGTGCCTCGCATTTGGGGAAGAGATAGCAAGATGTTTTCTGAATGAAGGAGGTGCAGATTGAGTGACCTGATATCATCTATGTATTTTTAGTTGGAAGTATAAGTCTTAAGTATAAGTATAAGTCTCATCTCCAAATGTTCAGCACTTACTGTACGGACTGAATGAAAGTAAAAGTTTTCCCCAAAACACTAGCAGCTACACATGGCACGCACTTATTTTCACAGCGTCAAGGTCCTAAAAATGTTTTCTGTTGCCAGAATTCAGCTTTAACCCTTTTTCATAGAGAACAAAGGTAACAATAAAAAGCTGACATATTTTATTTGTTTCTTGTACTTACATAGCATCGTCAATTTATGGATCACTTTAAATATACACTGCTCAAAAAAATTAAAGGAACACTTTGAAAACACATCAAATCTCAATGGGGAAAAATATCATGCTGGATATCTATAGTGATATAGACTGGGTAATGTGTTAGGAACATAAAGATGCCCCATTGTTTGATGGAAATGAAAATTACCAACATACAGAGGACTGGCTTCAAAGACACCCTGAAAATCAAAGTGAAAAAATGATGCAGCAGGCTAATCCATTTTGCTGAAATTTCATTGCAGCAACTCAAAATGGTGCTCAGTAGTTTGTATGGCCCCAAGTGCTTGTGTGCATGCCTGACAATGTTGGGGCATGCTCCTAATGAGATGACGGATGGTATCCTGGGTATTTTCTCCCAGATCTGGATCAGGGTATCACTGAGCTCCTGGACAGTCTACGGTGCAACGGTGGACCAAAACAATGATATCCCAGAGGTGTTCTATTGGATTTAGGTCAGGCAAGCGTGGGGCCATTCAATGGTATCAATTCCTTCTCCTCTAGGAACTACCTGCATACTCTCGCCACATGAGGCTGGGCATTGTCATGCACCAGAAGGAATGCGGGACCCATTGCATCAGCGTAGGGTCTGACATTGAGTCTAAGGATTTCATCCTGATATCTAATGGCAGTCAGGGTGCCATTGTTTTGCCTGTAGATCTGTGTGTCCCTCCATGGATATGCTCCCCAGACCATCACTGACCCACCACCAAATGGTCATGCTGAATGATGTTACAGGCAGCATAAACATTCTCCATGGCTTCTCCAGACCCTTTCATGTCTGTCACATGTGCTCAGGGTGAACATTTCTCTCATCTGTGAAAAGCACAGGGCCTGCCAATTCTGGTGTTCAATGGCAAATGCCAATCAAGCTCTATGGTGCCGGGCAGTGAGCACAGGGCCCACTAGAGGACGTCGGACCCTCTGGCTACCTCATGAAGTCTGTTTCTTATTTTTTGGTTAGAGACTTAACACCAGTGGCCTGCTGGAGGTCATTTTGTAGGGCTCTGTCGTGCTCATCATGTTCCTCCTTGCAGAAGGAAGCAGATACTGGTACTGCCGATTGTTTAAGGACCTTCTACAGCCATGTCCAGCTCTCCAGAGTAACTGCCTGTCTCCTGGAATCTCCTCCATGCTCTTTAGACTGTGCTGGGAGACACAGCAAACCTTTTGGCTATTACACCTATTGATGTGCCACCCTGGAGGAGTTGGGCTGCCTGTGCAACCTCTGTAGGGTTCAGATATCGCCTCATGCTACCAGTAGTGACACTGACCCTAGCCAAATGCAAAACTAGTGAAAAACAGTCAGAAAAGATGAGTAGGGCAAAACATGTCAGTGGCCTCCACCTGTAAAACATTCCTGTTTTGGGGGTCGTCTCATTATTGCCCATCTAGCGGAGGTTGCTTCTTCACAGCGTGAATGTATGGTTATTCCCTACAACAGAAATGGCAAAACCGTCAAATGGACATATTTTATAACAATATCTCCTTCGGACCTTAAACATACTCTTTTGAAAATGTATTAGTGAATAAAGTTTTATACTGCTTTTAATTATTTATTAAAGTTATATAAAACTTAAATACTCACTGCAAACAGCATATAGTATGAACTAGTTCAAATCTGCAGTCTCAATCAGTAACAATTCCTATTCTTATTTTGTCATGATAAAAATATCTTTCTTGACCCCTCTTTCTAAAATGTTAGATAATTGCCAGTCATGTTGAAGCATTGGCCTCAATGCTTTCTGACTCAGATCAAGTACAGATATAAGAAAATGCCAACACTTTCTGGCACTTGTGTGCTGCGTGCTTGTTCCAAGTATTAAATCCAGAGACAGCATAGTGCTTAGCATGACCAGAATGCAATCAATCAATGACAGCCCATGTATCCTTCTCCTGAGGTATGCTTTAAATGCTTTACCCAACCATAATATAACATATTGCAAGCAGCTTACAGTATCGTGTAGTGGCTGTGTTTGATTTCTTTTTTCAGACTTTAATTCCTCTGATTTCTTTATCATCCGTGGACAAAAATGTGGTTAGGGCTACAGAACACTTCTTTCTCCTTTTCCTCCCAAAATGGTGGGGGAGAGGCTATGTATTCCACAAAGACGCCTTGGGACATGGCTAACTAATAAGAGGGCTGCCTGGTGCAGAAAGTTATCAGCTCTTCAAGACTTCTCTGGCAGAATCAACAGGTATTTTTTATACTTATCAAACAAACGTAACAAAGTGCTTTAAATTACCGTATTTTTTTCTCCATAAGACGCACTTTTTTCCCCCAAAAAAAAGGGGGGGGGGGGAATGTCAGTGTGTCTTATGGAGCGAATATAAAGCAGCTGGTCTGGTATTTCCACCGCCACCATGTCAGAATACCGAGCCAGCCGCTCAGCTGTTCTCTGCTGCAGGACCTTACCTGTTCCTCGGCCCAGCACTGTACAGTGTTCCCGCACCGGCTTCTTCCCGCGCCGGCATCTGTGACAGCCAGGTGCCCACTGCGCATGCGAGAGAAGTGCTGTGCTTTGTGAAAGGTCCGGCGTCTTCTGGAACACATGAAAGATCCCAGAAGATGCTGGGCCATTCACAAAGTGCAGCGTTTCTTGCGCGCATGAGCAGTGGGCACCGGCTGTTACAGCCGGATGCCCATACTAAAGGGAGGACAACTCTGCGGAAGTGGGAGTGGGTACCTGTCAAATTCAGGTACCCGCTCCCTCTCCCTCCCCAAAGGTCCGCAGTCTCTGGTCATCCCCTGTACTGTCTGCAGTCTCTGGTCATCCCCTGTACTGTCTGCAGTCTCTGGTCATCCCCTGTACTGTCTGCAGTCTCTGGTCATCCCCTGTACTGTCCGCAGTCTCTGGTCATCCCCTGTACTGTCCGCAAGTCTCTTGGGTCATCCCCTGTACTGTCAGTCTCTGGTCATCTACTGTACTGTGTCCGCAGTCTCTGGTCATCTACTGTACTGTGTCCGCAGCCTCTCGTCATCTACTGTACTGTGTCCGCAGTCTCTGGCCATCTACTGTACTGTGTCCACAGTCTCTGGTCATTTCCTGTACTATGTCTGCAGTCCATTGGTTCAGAATATTTTTTCTCTTGTTTTTCTCCTCTAAAACCTAGGTGCGTCTTATGGTAAGGTGCGTCTTATGGAGCAAAAAATACGGTATATGTTTAACAGACCAAAGGGATTTAGGGTTGCATACTGTATATTTTGAGCTCACAGGTCTTTCTTTGCTAACTATAAAATAAAAACTATCTAAATTTATTAAAAATGAATGCATTCTATGACAGTGATGACTCTGAATGCTCTGTACTTCAACAATTGCTGGATTCTTTCTGCTTTTCAAAATAAAGGTATATTACATTATTGCACTTTAGTCTTTACTGCTATGATGTTTATTTGTGGTCTTCTTTTCTTTTCTCTTTTTAAATCAGCTGAACATTGCTTCATGCAAGCAGGTAAAACTACTGAACAAAATACCGATTGTACGTAGATGAAGAAACATAAGTGACTCAGCTGACTATTGGGTAAAACTCTTGTGAGAAAAAAAATTGGCAACAAAGGTTCTTTTCTTGGGTCTCTCTTGTGTTCTCGACACATACAGTGATAAGAGCCTCTCACCATGACAAATGGCGCATGCTGGGACACAGAATATCTTGGATTTTTTTTCAATGTGAGTTTCCTTTTACCAGCCTCTTAAGCAAGTGTAGAAAGCTTTTTACATTATTGATGAAAAAGCCAAACAGGAGGCTTTGTTTAACCTTTCCTCTTTTCGTGTTGAATTGATTCACTTCTTGGTCGGTTTGATTGGAAGGAAACTAAAATGCATTTCATTCCTTTTTGTTTCCTCATTTGGAAAAAATTCAGCTGGATGGACGACCCATATCCCAGTTCTGTGTTGGCTAGTGGGTGATCAATTCACATCTATAAGGTACATTAGGAGAAACAGATTTTTGCAGAGTCATTGCAACAGTATTTGTTATTTGTATCAAGGTAACTAGTATTAAAAGAATAGCGAAAGGACATAATACGAATATAGCTTGGAATATAAGCCAGAAAAAAAAAATATTTTCGTTTGGGGGTTAATGTGATGACTGAGCTTCATGTACTAAAATGGAGGATGAACAGGTAAACACATTACAACCTTTACAGTGCAACTATAACTTTTTATGTGTTTAAAATAAAAAATATTCTTAGTCGTTGCTATGTGCAACTATTTTTCATTTGAAAATTGTGTCTGCATATGAATGGCTGCACACAGCTCTGTTGTACTCACAGTGCCAGCACACAGCAGCAGCGGACCTGACACTCCAAAAGCGACCAGAGGAGAGGCAACAGCCTTGTGCCCCTCAGGGAGATGACAAAGAAGAGGAAAGCTGAGAAGAAACTCCTGAAATTAACAGAGTTTCCCCCTCAGCTGGATCACAGCAATCCCCAACATGGCAGCAGCAGCAGCTCAGGATCCTCCTCCTCTCACTCAGCACACAGGCAAGTCTCTGCAGCTTCTCCTGTGACACCTGTTAAGCAGAAAAAACAGCTCTATCTTAATGCAGCCTGTCTCCTCTGATTTCTCTACTTCCTCTATTGAGAGCCAAGCAAAATCTAAACCTGGAATAACAGATATTAACCTACAGCACGCTGTAACAAATTATCACACTAATACTTCACATTCTGCAAGTAATTTCTCAGATCCAATGGCTAGCTTTCCTATTACCAGTCAGCCTATTTCTGATACATTAACCACTTGCCGACCGCGCATAGCCGAATGACGGCTGCACCGCGGCCGGCTAGTTCTGGGTGGACGTCATATGACGTCCTCCCAGAACGCGCTCTCCTGCGCGCCCCAGGGGGCGCGCACCCGGCGATCTCCGTGATCGCTGTGTCCTACGGACACAGCTGATCACGAGATGTGGTGAAAGGCCGATCCCACCGGCCTTTTACCACGTGATCAGCGGTGTCCAATGACACGCTGATCACAGGAAAAAAGCAAGTGCCGGTTCTCGGCTGCACTTTCCTCACGCTGTCAGATCGTGAGGAAAGTACTGCCGAGAACCGGCAGTTGTCAGAGCGGGGATCGGCACCGATCATCAGGGCACTGATGATCAGTGCCCTGATGATCGGTGCCCAGCAGTGACCCCCGCAAGTTCCTCCCAGCAGTGCGCCCACTAGCCCCGCCCACCCATGCCCAGCAGTGCCCCCACCTGTGCCCAGCAGTGCCCCCACCTGTGCCCCCACCTGTGCCACTCTGCAGTGCCACCTACCTGTGCCCAGAAGTGCCACCTACATGTGCCAGCAGTGCCACCCACCTGTGCCCACCCACCTGTGCCCACCAGTGCCACCCGCCTGTGCCCACCAGTGCCACCCACCTGTGCCCACCCACCAGTGCCGCCCACCAGTGCCGCCCACCAGTGCAGCCCAGCAGTGCTGCCAGTCAGTGCCACCAGTCAGTGCCCAGGGGTTGTGCCAGTCAGTGCCGCCAGTCAGTGCCCAGAAGTGATGCCAGTCAGTGCCGTCTATCAGTACCCATAATCAGTGTCACCTATCAGTGCCGCCTATCAGTGCTGTCTATCAGTGCCGCCTATCCGTGCCACCTCATTAGTACTGCCTATCAGTGCCCTTTAGTGCTGCCTATCAGTGCCCATCAGTGCCGCCTATCAGTGCCCATCAGTGCCGCCTCATCAACGCAAATCAGTGAAGAAGAAAAAATACCTGTTTGAAAAATTTTATAAAAGAAACAAACAAACTTTTTTTTTTTTTTCAAATTTTTTGCACTTTTTTTAATTTATAGCGCAAAAAGTAAAGCGCCCAGTGGCGATTAAATACCACCAAAAGAAAGCTCTATTTGTGAGAAAAAAATGATCAAAATTTCATATGGGTACAATGTTGCATGACGGCGCAATTGTCAATCAAAGTGCGGCAGCGCTGAAAGCTGAAAATTGGCCTGGTAAGGAAGGGGGTATAAGTGCCTGGTAGGCAAGGGGTTAATGAAGGAGATGCTCCTTTCAATAAGATCATCCATACAGTCAGATATCATTAACTCTATGCAACAAATCAAATCAGAGATTAATGATCTTGGCGACAGAGTTGACCATGTTGAAACAAAAAATGGGACACCACTTCCTTTAACACCCTAGTAGATGCCTAGTAGATGCCCACAATGAAAGGGATGAAGAAATTGAATGGCTCAAAAATGAAGTCGCAGATCTGGAGGATAGATCACGACATAACAACATTAAAATAAGAGGCATTCCAGAATTGATACAATCTGACCAATTGAGAGCATATATACCCAAGAGCTCTTTCGTGCCCTCCTACCTGATGCTACAAACTCAAGATGTCTTTATTAGAATTCATTTTTTTCATGTCAAAGAAAAAAAAATCATGGAAATTGCGCACAAACCCCAAAATTTGCCTTCACAATTCTCCTCTTTACAGCTTTTCACAGATTTATCTAAGCGCACCATGCAACTAAGGAAAAATCTCCTCCCAATAACAAAAGCTCTATGAAACCGCAAAATTATTTATCGTTAGGGTTACTCTACTGCATTAATATTCACCAGAAATGACTTAATCATCAGCCTAGAGGAAGGTCTGCAATGTCTTAGAGAGTGGGACATTCTCCCAGAAAGCGACCCACAACATTCTACCGCCACCAGAGCATCTCCAGAGGGGAACCCGGTCACTCACAAACACCAAACTAAACATTGACCTTGTACTTGCAATCTTATCTCATGGTCCCCACTTAGATGTAATTTTGCATGTTTAAGTGAGGCACTAAGGGTACTACCCTTACTGAACACACTACCTGTAAGTATGCCTGCCAATGGCAAGATCACTTGTTTTGTTTTTGCCCCAAAAGTACTGCACAATTTTCATTGCATTTGGATCTTGGCTAAGATCCTATTTTTTACTGATTTGTTATCTGTTCAGTTATCTTCATTTGTTTATTTTTTTCCTTTTTGTTTCTACTATCATGTAATTCCTGATAGTTTAAATGGTTTAACTGACGTGCATAAAAATGTATCCGGTCAAATGTACAAACATGTGGAAAAAAGCATTTAAAGATAAATGTGATATACTCGGTGTTCAAGAGACTCATTTCATAGATTCGGCCCCTCCTAAATGCTCACACAAAAAGTTTCCATGTGTCTATACTGCCAATGCCTCTGAAAAGTACTCACTGCTATTAAAGATACACTAAACTTTGTTCTTCATAAAAATATCTCAGAGCCTGAAGGCCAGTACATGATTCTTTGACAGAAGTGTGTATTGGCGCAGGAGAGGTAGTAGTGGGTATGCAATTCATAAAAGTCTTTATGGAGATTGAGGTAGTTCTGTTTTAGGAGAGCATGTGGACTTCTCAGCGAGACTAGGGGGAGGAGAGGGGGGGGGAGGAGAGGGGGGGGGAAGAAAAATTGAAGTAAATAGAGTATATGGTGTTTCAGTAAGAGTTATGCAGCTTTAATAGTTCTAAAGGTGGAGGGGTTTTGTAACTCAGGTAGTTCTTGGCAGGAGGGGGGTTAAAAAAAATAAATAAATAAATATATATATATATATATATATATAGATGAAACATAAACACCATTGTGAGGCTGCACTCTTTAGAGAAAACCAGAACTCTGTGTGGAGAGAATAGAGGAGAGAGAGGTGCGCCAGACTAAGTGTAGTAAGGAGGTAACAGTTTATTGCACACAAGATTTAAAAACTCACAAGATGTGGGTGTATATCAGGCATCAAGTAATAATAAAAGGACGTCATCTGGGCTGGACATCTGGAGCGGAAGGTTCCAGGGGCCAAGGCTCACGTAGTGGGCTGGCGTTCCATTGCAGGTCCCAGTGGAGGAGCAAGGAGGGCAGGTGAGTGTCCAGTGAGTCGCAGTGCAGGTGAAGAACTGGGCTCTGGACAGGTGTTCCTTGCCTCTCACACCAGCATATATTTGGTCACGTATCAGAACCAGCTTGGAGCACAGCCATGGCTGCAGATGGCTGCCGAGCGGAAGTGATGTCACAGCGTAGCATGGAGCCATTGCAAGGGGCGGTGATGCGTTTCAAGGCAAACAGTCTTTTCATCAAACCTAATTGGCCACTGGAGTAGGCCAATTAAATAGGGGATGGAGGGGGCGTGGAGCGGCTCATGTGAGAGTTCATG